ATAATCGATGATATGACTCGAAACGCATACCCCAAAATTTGACAACCGGCCCATGAGTTAACAGAATTTCCGGATAATGTGTTAAATTATGGAACTTTGGTTTTAATTTACCATACAAATTAACATAACCATCATTTAAATTTTTAATAATGAATTTTAAAACTTCTGCATCTGTACGAATCACTCGTGGTGACATTAAAATATCTAAAATTTGACGTAAATTTTTAAATAAGTTCCAGTGTTCATCTGATTGTTTAATTAAATCGCCTATAATTAATCCTAAGTATCGGACAAGACAAAGCATTTCTGATGCAGAGAAATACATATTAAGTTTCTTTTTGCCTTGTTTGACTTTAATTAACGGGGGCCTATTTGAGTTTTCTAATCCAAAATCAAAATTCCTGACTCTATCATTTAGATTCTCTAAGGTGAAGTATTTTTTTTCAAAAATAAATGTATACAATATACCGCCTAATACATATTTACACACGCCTTCCAGAAAATCATGCATCAGGTCAACTGAAATATTTTCAGTAACATGAAATCCACGGATTTTATTAAAAACGCAAGATTCTTTAATACCAGTTTTTCCTTCGTCATGTAGTGCAGTATCTTTTTCGTAATTACTTTTATTTCGGAGCTTCGACCTATCTTCACTTGTAAATTTAGCGTAATCATCAGAAGAAATTGTACAAATTCTACAGCAATATTTAGCGACAAACGATTCAACAAAACCTAATATTCCATTTAATCCCAAGTTATCACCTAGAATCAAAACTACTTGAAATTTGACTCGCTTCGCTACATTTCCAATAGTTATTGTAATTCCTTCTTCCCATAAAAAGTTTAATTCATTAATCAGAGTTTTAAAAACGTTTTCATTGGTACTTTCTTTTTTTTCTGAAGAATAAAATAGGGTTGAAAAAATTATACTTTGCAAGCGACTAGCTATATGGGGAGGTAAACAAGCGATAGTTACATAAACGGCACCTAATTTATTCACACCACGGTGACTTCCTAATGCATTACCTAATTCCAGATCATCAAAGAATATGTAGAGGGGCAAAATTGTGTCAACAAGAGAATTTAACGCATATTTTTTTTCCAAAAATCACCCTGAATTATGTTTGTAATAATTTTAGTTTCTTTCGACAGATTTTTAACGTATTCTGTTATACCATTAAATATGCCAGGTATTTCAAGAAAAAGTTTTAGACTATATCGAAGGGGAATGTGAACACCATACATTAAATTCGGAGTTAAAATCTCTTCATTTTCGACAATTGTGGTTGTGAAAGTTTTGCCAATTGGAAATTCATGAAAATCAGGAAAAAGGCCTCTCCTTTTTAAAATTGTAAAGCGTTTCACTTCAGTGTCAACAGCGTCAAAAACATTAGTGTATCTTTCGAAACAATTGTTTATCTTATCAAGAGAGTTCGGTGAAATATTTTCGTTTTGAAGTATATCTAATAGGTCCTTTTTTAAAGATGGTATGTAAGCATTTTTAATGAAAGTTTTAAGATAATCAATAACATCTTGCACAATTTTCCTTGGAAATCCTGGATCGCCATAAAGTGCCAAAATAAATCCCAAAATATGATTCAGTATAAAAATATAATCCATTTTTCTTTTCAATTTAAAATTGAAATTAAATTTCAACAATCAACACGACAGCTTGCAGAAGTTATTGGATTTTTTTGAGATCTGAAATAAATTTTATCACAAAGGAATTAACTTTTTTGAAAGTTAAATTATAAATCGCTTGATCAAAGAATGACCACACAGAAGCACAGAATGGTGATTGTCTTTGCAAAGCTATAAGGCATTTATAACAGTCTTCAATTGCTTGGGTGCAATTCGCGTATACGTATTTTTCGTTATTTAACGAAATGTAGAATTGAGCATTGTCTAATTGGCCAACGCAAATTACATACGGGAGAACTTCGACATCACGCTTTGACAACCATTCTTCGAAATCTTTTTGAGCTTCTTCTAAATTATGTGCTTCCTTAACATGTAAAATAAAACAATTTGAGATCTCTTCTTTAGTTACTTTTTCTTCTTTTTTACTCAAAACTGTTCTTATGCACAGAGGTAACAGAAAAAAGGCAAGGATGTCATTGTGAGTACCTTAAAAAAAATTCAATATTATTTTAAATATTCTTTTAAATATCTAATACAATTTCAAAGCATTTTACGACTATCAAGTAGACTTATTATGCTTTAAATCTTTTTCAATCTAGCTGCACTTATATTTTTTCAATTTTATTTGTTTTTAAACAATTTTATTTATTTTATTAATTTTATATTTAAAATATTTATTATTTGTCAATTTAAATATTTGAATTTATGGCATTGATAATCCAAGTCATACCAGCCTTGATTAAATCCTCGTATTCAATAAGAAATTCTTTAATTTGCAAAATTCTTGACTGCTTGCAATTAAGAAGAATTTTTTTTGCTAGTTCAGGCCATTTAGTGGAAAACAATGTTGATAATTCCGGAATTATTTTTTTTGGTATTAAACTAGTGTTAGCGTATTTTTCAATAATTTTTTGAAAATCTGCTTCCAACTATCATGAATAAAAAAGTACAATTAGTATACTGTTAAAAACAAATTTTATAAATTATCAGGGAAGTATATATTTCAGTTAAAAGGTGAAATATTTTAAAACAAAAAATTAAAACAGTATAATATATTTACTAATAGGATCCCATGAGGTGAGCACAAATTCAAAAAACTTCTAAAGTATTTTTTAAGTGTCAAAGTATTTTTTTTGTTCTCTTTATGGGATAGTAAATGAATGCGCTTTTCATGTGTCTCGTCCCATAATTTTAATTTTGTTGCCAATGTACAATTTGGAACATTCACGTCAGTTGTACAGTTTAAAAAATCTTCTTCATTATAAGTTGATTTTTCCTGAATTGGCTTATTTCCGATCAAAAGTGTTCCAGCAATTCTTAGATCTTTCCTCACTAGTTTATAATGGTTATAAAGCGATCCTCTTGCGCTTAAATTCTCATTACTCTCGCCTTTAGAATGCGGAATATAAAACAAATTTATATCTTCTGTTGGGAATAATTGGTGAATTTCTGATGCCAGCTCCAAAAATCGAGAAGGTTTTATCCTAGAAACAGTTTTTTCAATAAATATTGTTATAAAGACTTTTTAATATTTCCATAATGAAATGCGAAATTCTATGTTAAAAGAATGCTTATAAAAATCGACATGTTTTTATTATTTAAATAATAATAGTAACAAAATAAAAATAAATAATAAATATAAATATTTAGATAAATAAAAAATATTATAAACATATTTCATCTCCTAATCTTACTTGTAATTTATTGGATCGTTCTTCAGTTCATCATAAATAATTAAATTTTTAAGTCTACCGTGATCTAAAGCTTTCGAATTTTTATACACCCCAAGAATAGTCTGACCCTCCAAAGTAGAATTTAATAATTGGAAGATATCATTCTTTACAAAATCTAAAATAGTCGTTAAAATTTGTGACATTTGTAGATAACCAAAAAATTTAACAAATTTTTAATTATAGTAATGAACTACCTGAAAAAGTAACTTCTGAAGTGGTAACTACACTATTTGTAATACCAACATTCTCTTCAGAATTAACAGTAGTACCTAATATTTCGCTTGTATTTTGTGCCTGAAGAATATTATCCGTCTCAGATTCATCAATGAAATCAACTTCCATTTCTTCTATTATCAAATCTATATAGTAATAAATTAATACTTTATTTATTAATTTATTTAAAATTGACAAGAATTAAATTATAATAGTAAAATAATTACAATATAATATATATTTCATAAAAAAACATGTGTATAAATTAATCTAAGTTTTATTTATTATTTATAGATATTTTTATTTAATATTCAGCTTATTATTAGTAAATATAAAAAAAAATATCGATCTTAAAAAGGTTTTGCTATAAATGTATAGAATTTTGCATTTCATTTCGTAAACAGAGAAGAAAATATGGTTATGTTTTATTCCAATTTTTAGAATGTCATTTAGGAATTTTCAACATTTACTAAAAATACTTACCTTTGTAAAATGGATTTGATTTTTCAATCTTATTTTTTAAAAAGTTTTCCATCTTTTTTATTGCGTATTGTCCACAAGTTGATTTCTATGTTTTTGCACGGTGGTTAGGATACACAACTATTTCAAAAAAAATAATTGCTGCAGTCATTTGTTGTTGGTAGAGAATTTACATTGCTTCGCGGGCAATATACGTACCAAACAGGACATCGAAAGTCCTAAAGTGACGTTTCCATATCTGTCTTCTGTTTTATGCAACGAGAGTACTAATAAATGCAAATAATACACAAAACATTTTTCCGTGTAGCAGCTCAAGAATACAAAAGACAGCTTCAAATTATTCGAAAGGATGGAAATGAAGAAAATATTAATGTAGAAAGTCACTTATATGGTGCAGGCATCATAGATTAACAGTGGTTTCATATTTTCACATTACATAAGTTTAAATGCGTTTTTCTCGAAGTGACATTTTTCAAAACGGTGGGCAATCTAGCCAGAACAGTTTTGATTAGACTGACTTCGTCAGCTAAATCTATCACAGATTCAGAAAAACCTTGAATTTTTGTTTTCGATTAAACGGTTTAATCAGAATATTGTCCACCGATTTGCCCTACATAGAAACGAGACTAACTTCGGCGCCCTCTATATGCAACAAATTGAAATTTTTTTTTAAGTATAAATATATTTTCTTAAACTTAAAAAGTTAATAAATAAAGTCCCCCAAACCAAATTTTGTTTACATTATTCCTGTATCTTAAAAAAATTCATGAAAAACAGGTTCAAAAGGCACCTCAAAGGTACGTGTCACTCCCCCTTAATAGAAAATATTATACTACACAAAATTTGCAAAACTAAAATGTACATTTAATCAACATAAAATTTCTTACCTCCACTTGTTTAATTATCAGTCAGTTCGAGAATATTGGGAAAGCACGTGTAAATTAAAGAATGCTAATGAACTTATTCTGGAAATGGCATCAAACTTGCCATTACTTCCAGTCAATAAGTTTTTAGACGGTATTGATGAAATAGAAAAGGAAATAAACAATTACCCTGAAAAGTACCACGAAAAATTAAGAAAATTCATCAAATATCTGAGAAAATATTGGGGCCCGAAGAAAAATAATTATTGTGTTGGAGATCTTATTCACAGAACCAATAATTTAAGTGAGTCGGCAAATAAGAGACTTTTTACTCGATTAGGAGGACTACATCCAGGAATCTGGAAATTCATAAGTAAATTATTATATTATTAACTACAAAAACAACCATTTTTTTGCGTTTTTAAAAGTTTTCAGAAAAATTATATAAATTCTAAAATCTATGATATGTTTATTAATTATTATAACTAGTGCCAAACCAGTGCGCGTTAAGGCGCTCGCACAGCTCTACTGCCTGCATGAGAGTAAGAGAGAAAAAACATGAAATTTGAATTTTCTGACTTACTTACTCTCATGTGTTACCATGACAACTATGCATGCATTGGCTCGCTTTTTAGTTAAAGAAAAGGACACGTTAAAAATATTCATTATAAACAAATTTTTGTTTAGCGACACTATGTGTATAATGTAATTGTTTTATGGATTTTTATGTTAAGAGATTTATGAACATATATCTTCATAAAACAATTGCATTACACAAAGAATCGTCAATTGAAAATTTATGTATAACAAATATTTTTGACGTGTCCTTTTTTTCAACTAAGAAGCGAAGTATCCTCTTTTGGAATTATTTCCTCTTTATACACTAGTACCTCCATTTCTTCTATATCTCTACAATTATTAAAAAATGCTTCGATCCTACTTCTATCCCTATCTTTCTTCCCTTTTATCTAATTTTTTCATTTTTTTCTAAAACACTTAATCTTTATAATTTTTCTTCTATTTTACTCAATGATGATATTATCACTTACAACGGGACGCATGAATAATCTCTAGAAATCATTAGTTAGAAGTTTTAAATGATTGAATTTCATTTATTAGAATTTTCTTTTAGTAGAATTTCATTTTTTTCGAATTTTTGTTTAATCGATTCTAAATTGACCCGAATATTTACATTAACAGATTTATAAATACTCGAATTTTTATTTATGAGAATTATCATTTAACACAATTTCCATTAATGGTACTTTCCATTAAAATGAATTCTTATTTATACGAATTTTTATTTACAACAACTCTTATTTTACATTATTTCTACTTAGTCTAATTTTGAAAAGACATAATTTCCATTTCGGCGAATCTTTATTTGTCCAAATAAACATATTAACATTTGACAGAATTCTTAAAAGAACGAATGCTCATTTGTGCGAATTTGCAAATGGCCGACATAACAACATGCCGAAAGATTTCGGCGCCAGTTTCAAAACTGACCAATTAGAAAATGTTAAGAAAATTGTGATTGGTCAGTTTTGAAACTGGCGCCGAAATCTTTCGGCATGTTGTTATGTCGGCCATTTGCAAATTCGCACAAATGAGCATTCGTTCTTTTAAGAATTCTGTCAAATGTTAATATGTTTATTTGGACAAATAAAGATTCGCCGAAATGGAAATTATGTCTTTTCAAAATTAGACTAAGTAGAAATAATGTAAAATAAGAGTTGTTGTAAATAAAAATTAGTATAAATAAGAATTCATTTTAATGGAAAGTACCATTAATGGAAATTGTGTTAAATGATAATTCTCATAAATAAAAATTCGAGTATTTATAAATCTGTTAATGTAAATATTCGGGTCAATTTAGAATCGATTAAACAAAAATTCGAAAAAAATGAAATTCTACTAAAAGAAAATTCTAATAAATGAAATTCAATCATTTAAAACTTCTAACTAATGATTTCTAGAGATTATACATGCATCCCACTATTACAACCACGTATAGTGTAACGACGTTATTCAATGTGCACCCTCAATTAAATTACGGTAGTTTGTAGAATTTTACTGATTTAATAAATTTTATAAAAATTTGAAAAAAAACCATTACAGGAGAGCATTCTCCACATATTTAAGAATATTTTCAAGCAAAAAAATCAATTTTTTAACCAATTTCACCAGACTTCTCCTTTAAATGAAAATACCCCTGTTTTATAAGATTTTATTTCTCAAGCATATTTGTATGATCAAATATAATTTAAAAAAAAAATTTACCTTATAGTTTCTTTGAAAAATACCATTGAAGATGAAGAGATTCGAATGAGAAATTTAGAACAAGGATTTGTAGATGGAGAATTCTTAACACGCAATAATATCCAAAGAAATAACATAATTCGAAATGCTATACAACGACTGGAAACCGGATGGTAAAATTCGAATTCCAAATAATTTTAAAAATAAATTCTATTAATATATATAAAACTTTACAAATATAACACTCAACTATTATAATATGTAATTTCATGGGAATCCAGTTTAAAATCACATCGATTCATATATAAGATTTACAAAAGTATTTTAAACATTGAAATACTCGCTCCATCTTATTTTATTTTCAAATACTATCAGGATGTCTTACATGGATTAAGGGGGTTGACCCGTGTGATGGATTCAAAAAGTCGAAAAATTTTTTCTTCTATAAATCGCATTTATAACATATGTAGAATAAGTGGTTAGAAGGATTTTTCGATATGTGATGTCGTTAGAAAGTTATGTTGCAGTAATTGAACCGTGTGATGAGTGCAAAAAAACCAAAAAAAATTTTTTTATATAAATCGCATCTATAACTTTTGCAAAATAAGTGGTTAGAAGGATTTTTCGATACGTGATATAGACCCGCATATTTAGAGTCCAAAAATATAATTTCGAATACAACGGTTAGTTTAATTTTGTCTTGGTATTGAAGATTGTAATGCATCCCAAAACCGTTTGACTTTCAAAATCGTTTTTCTCAAAACCACGTTTTTTCAACTGGTCGTCAGGATATCTCAAAAACTTCTTGACCGATCACCTTGAAATTTATAGGGAGTGTTCAGCACATGTGGGGCTATGGCCTGAACTAGGATAATTAAAAAAGGTCACTTCGTTTTTTTTCTATACAACAAAACAGATCCAAAAAAAAATTGTTTTTTTAGAAAAAAAATTCAAAGCCGCATAAAAATTTTATTTCTTAATATTTTTAAGTAATCCTAGTTCGGGCTGTAGCTACAGTAACAGGAATTAAAATGCTTATTCACTTTTTGAATTCAGATCACTCAGTTGGTCGGAATCGTGGAGACCAATGCTGTACTTTTTTTTACATGTATTATTTCACAGCGCTGTATCACGGACTTTTTTCACTATTTTAACTTCTAAAAATTTGAAAATGTACTGAAGTACATTTACAAATTTAATAGATTATTAAATTAATATTAATATTAATAATATTAATATTAATAATATTAATAATTTTAATATTAATATTAATAGATTATTAAATTAATTAATTTAATTTTCAATAGATACTAAATGTATGGTGAAAAATCCAAAGTTGCAAGTTTTAATCGCTCCTAAAAAAAAATTCCCAAAAAACAGTTAAAAAACGGACGTCACACGGGTCAACCCCCTTAAGAAAAATTTCTCTAACTTTTTCTTGATAACTGAACAACATTACAGTAAAGGCACTCACAGATAGCAAATAAACTGACATGGTGCGAGGAATAAGTTAGAGTCCCATTAGAGCGTTTTGTAACTAAAGAATTCGTTTAAACCTTTGAATAATATAAAAAGAGAGATCTGTATAATTTTCTGATGGGTATTGTTTCACTTTTCCAACAACAGTCTATACTGGGCGCTTTGTGTGACTATCTCTCCTCTCACTGTGGTAGAATAGTTAAATAGTTGTAATAAAATAGTAAAATAGAACAGTTTTAACCAATCAAATAAATGTTTCAAACGATTTTTCTTATTATTCAAATCTATATTATATGGGAATAAATAAAGTAAAACAAATAGCTAAAACGAATTTCGAGAAAATAACATTTATTTATTACGAGCTGAGATAAACAGTACAGTAGTACTCAAACAACTGAGTTATCTAACCTAACGTGGTTGCAGAGACACCGTGCTTCAATATAAGAACTAACTTTACGTTTAAACGATCTCTGAAATACTTAAATTTACTTTCGGATAATTGTTTTGTAAAAATGTCTGCTTCTTGTTTTTCAGTTCAGATATAGAACAACTTAACTTTGTTTTCAGCTACACAATCTTTTACAAAATGAAACTTAACATCTATGTGCTTAGTTCGTTTAGTTTCCAAAGTAGACGCCATCTTTATGCAGATATGAATTTCCTCAAAAATACTAATTGGATAAACATCATGATTTGCAATTTCGAATAACATTTGAGCTAAAAAGAGGCTTTCTGTTACACAGTTTGTTAAGACAACATACTCTGACTGTGCGCTAGAAAGAGTGACAATGTTCTGTTTTTTAGTTTTCCAGTAAATCGAATTATTGACTAATTTTATTACAAAACCGGTTATACTTTTACGGTCAACAATACTGTTAGCAAAATCAGAATCTACATAGGAAATTAATTTAACTTTCGAATCACTACACTTTTTAAACTTTAATCCAAAATTCATCGTTTGCTTTAAATACTTAATAACGTACTTTAAATGTTGCCAATGTTCTTCCGAATAACTATTTTGAAATTGACTGAAATACGTGACACAAAAACTGAGATCCGGTCTAAAGCCTAGCATTATATACATTAAACAACCAATTAATTCACGTTAGGGTAATTCTTTATTTACAATGTTTGAATTAGTGAGCAGTTGTAACTTTGGTTGCATTGGTAGTTTCGAGGGTTTACAATCACACATGTTAAAACGATTTATAACTTTTTCAATTAATTTCTTTTGAGAGATATGCAATTAATTATTGACTTTAGAAATTTCCATGTCCAGAAAAGTTATCTTTTCGTTATCAAGTTCTTTTACTTTAAATGCTTGAGACAATTTATCTTTAATAAAGTTTAGAACTTTTAAAAACTTAGAAAACATTATAAGATCATCAACGTATACTAATAAAAAAGTGTCATCGCTAAAATACAAACAAGGATCTTTTTGTGAACGTTTTAAACATAAACCGATCAAAGTTTTATGAAGAAGTGAATTCCAACATTTTGGAGCTTGTTTGAGTCCACATACTGACTTGTTCAATTTACATACAAAATTTAAATCAATTTTACACCCATCTGGTTGATTCATATAAACAGGTGTGTCTAAAGTATCATGCAAAAATGCCGAACTGACATCCAATTGTTGCACAAGCAAATCATTCTCAAGACACAAGGATGACAACAATCTAATTGTAACCATACGACCCTATTGAAAATCCCCACATGGGAAACCACATGGGTTCCTATGTCAAAAACCATGTAAATCCCTACTTCCATGAAGGAAACCACGTGGTTTAACATGTGGTTTCCCATGTCAAACCATATGGGAAATTGAGACAGGATTTTAGTTAGGAATAGACATGGGGAATTTGGACAGTTTATCTATAGATAAAACCATATCAAATCCCACATGAAATCCTGCATGTTTTTCCCAGTCAAATCCTAAACCAAATCCCATGTGAAAAACAGTATTATTTATATATAATTATTTTCCCAAGTCAATCCCCAAGTGAAATCCTTTTTCCTTTTTTTTAAATTTTCCCATGTCAAATCCTAAACCAAATCCAATGTGAAAAACATTATCCACCTTATTGAATATCCCTACATGGGTATCCACTTGGAATTTTACAAGGGATTTCACATAGAATTTTATATGGGAATTGACATAGGATTTCATGCAAGATTTCACCTAGGATTTAATATGAGATATCACATAGTATTTTATTAAAGATCCAATGAAGAAATTTTCAAAGGATTAAAAATTATTTAATAAAAAATTAAATAATAAATAGTATTAATGTTACAAGTCATCAAAAAAGTAAAAAAATGATAATTTAAAACACGACCTCTGTGCTACAGGTTCTCAGCTCTTATATACTTCCAGAATCGTCTCAACAGCGAGAGAAGTAACTTTCGCCACCTAGCGGTGAAAGTATAGGAACGACAGTAATCTTTAGCATTACTAAAGAAACCATGTGGTTTCCTACGTGGGGATTTACATGGGATTTTACTTAGGAATTCATTTAGCAATTTATTTCAACGTAAATTTTCAGATGGTGGTACCAATTCCCACGTTTGATTTTCTTTGAGAGAATTCAGCTCCTACTGAATTGCTGCTTTCCAACTATTATCACTAATTGCTTCACTGTAACTACTGGGTAGATTAGAAAGCAAACAACCCACTGATAAAGCTATCATTAGATTCGCCTCAAATCCAGAATAATCTTCTAAAAAACTTGGAGGTTTTCTGTTTCTTGAGCTTCTTCTTAAGGTAGCATCTTCTTTTGATGTTTTTGTATTTTCGTCTGATTTTTGTCGTCTTTCGTCTGATATGTTTCTGCTTATGTCAAGTGGTTCTTCGATATTTTCATCTTGACTATCATAATCTGGAATAATTTGTCGAAGTGTTTGGTCCTATTTTAATTCTTCGAAGACAACATTTCTTCCGAGTACAATCCTTTTATTTTCATCGTCCCACAATCTGTAACCGTTATCAGTATATCCAACCATTATTAATTTTTTGCTTCGTGAATCTAATTTCGATTTTCTATCTTCTTTAGGGACAAGATTGTATGCGATTGAACCGAATAGTTTTATTTTACTCATGTCAGTTTTTTCGTTGTACCAGATTTCTGCTGGAGTTAAATTGTTTGGCAATACACTGGTTTGTGTTCGATTTGTAAGAAATACAGCCGTTCTTACAGCCTCGCCCCAAAAGGATTTATCTAATTCGGAATCAAAAATCATGCATCTGGCTTTTTCCATTATGGTACGATTGTACCTTTCGGCAACTCCATTTTGTTCCGGATTTCTTGCAATAGTAAATTGACATTTTATTCCATTTTTATACAAAAATTCTTCATCTCTGCAGACGTATATTCGCCTCCATTATCACACCGAAATCTCTCAATTTTTGTTCCAAACTTTGCTTCAACATGTTTTACGTATTCTTGAAATTTATCGAAAACTTTTTACAATCATGAGTAGGTGGACTTATCAGACCACAGACATCACTTGAGATGACTTCCAGAATGCGACTTGCTTTTCGTTTTCGGGTATACTTTAAACGGAAGTCTGGGTTCTTGCATACCAAGATTTCTTGACTAGTTTCCGAATTTTTAAGGCCAGTGAATTGTTTTTTCCTTGTAGGATTACTTAAAAACCAATGTCTTTAATTTAGGGCTGATATTACCTTAATAATCCAAAAAGGTGATATTTCATGGCTCACACCCAGATAGCACAACATTTTACGGAAAGTTTGCATTGCAAACTTCGCAAATTTGTAGCAAATTGTCAAATGTGTTTTCACAGAAAACTTGCAGCAAACTTTCTGAAAACTTTAAAAATTTTCAAAAAGTACATATTTTGTCAAATTTTACCTTCCCTCTTGGGGAAGGTGACAAAATGTAGTGTGCAGCTCTATATGTCATAGAAAACTACTGCGCAGACATATTAATTTACCTTGCCACACAAGTTTTCTGCAAGTTTGCTCCGCAAACTTTACACAAGGCGGACATTTACCAATTTGCTATAAATTTGTTGCAAGCTTGCAATGAAAATTTGCGAAGTTTGCATTGCAAAATTGCTGCCAATTTTTGCAAAATGTTGTGCTATCTAGTCAGTTATTTAAAAAAATATTGAAGTTCTCTGTACTATATGAATAAATAAGATGATTAAGGGGTTACGTACAGTTAGAATTTTCATAAATTCGATTTTTTTAAATTGCATTTTCTAAAAATATACCATTTCAAGAGTATTCTCTGAAAATTTGAGACAAATCGGACCATTATTTATGGAGATATAGATTTTTGAATGGAGCCGTCTCAGCCGTCACTGTGGCCAGGCGGTGGTACTTAAAACTTAGAATTCATTTTTCTTAAAACCACACGGAAAGAAATCTGCTAGTATTATACCATTGGGCGGACAATAGACTTATGCCATCTGACGCCACCACTACTTTTCAGGCTGAGTAGATGGAATTAGTACATCTCTGCGTAGAATAATACTATGCAGCGATGGACTGATAGCATCTACTATCTACTATCTATGAACTTACGATTCCTTCTTTATTTTCTTGAAATATGTATATTTTATGTGGAAAAAGATTTGTTAATAATTAGTTTAATAGTTTAATGTATGTACACAAAAAATTTCCAAAAAATAGCTTTTTTTAAGCTCTAACTGTACGTAACTCCTTAAAAATAATTACAATGTATTATTTCAATAGGTCAATCAAAGAATTTCTATGCATGTTCAATAATGAGAGAGAGTAATGAATCAATAACATGTTTCATAATGAGTTAATTAAAACAAATATGAAGAAGTAAAGTGATTCAAATACCTGCCATCATTGAATCTGAAGTGATGAAATATTTAATTTAAACTATTTACTTATGTTAAAAAACAACAATTTATTAATTTACCGAGCTTTCGTTACTTTATATTAAATTTATTGATTTTTTCTTACATTGTCTGTAAATATAAAATAAAATGATATTAGTAATTTTATTATTTTAAATTGTTCATTTACCTTATAATTAATGGTATTGATGTAATGAATAATTATGCTTAATAAATATAAAATTTAGTAAGTAGTTAGAAATATATTCTTCCATATTTTGTTATTTGTTGATAATATATATTATGATCTTGAGAAGGTAAGATTTGAATGAGAATTCAAAAGTGTGTTGTTAAAAAAGCGACGTTTCGTTGGCTAGGGTTTGCCAACCTCATCAAGCTAAATGAGATTTATATATGTAATAATATTTCATCATGTTTTAAAGTTATTTACAAGTGTTTAAACGAAAATTTTATAATTATATTAATATATTATTAGAAATGTATATTAAAAAAGAAAAAAATGTTATTTAATATCTGCGTAATATATAATTTAAAGAAATTTAAATTTAAAGAAAATCAACATACATATATCAAAAGTTGATTTTCTTTATTCTTTTAATTCTGATTTTAATAAATCTTTGAGTCAAAAATGGCGATTTGGTGCACAAAATAGCCCCGGTTGACGGTAATGAATAATAAACATAGGGGAAGAGGTTCGGTTGTGGGCATAGTTTCGTTTTTAACTCATAATTTGTGTCCTTGTAGATAATAAGCAAACATATGTATATGTATTTAAACCTAGGGACCTTAGCTAACTACTGATGAAGAAACTAAATTGATTCTATTGACTAGAAAAATTTTATTAAAAATTCAATAAAGTGGGCATTTTTCTAACAAAGAAAATTTTGGTTCGGTTATGGGCACTCTTGAAAAATCAAATAAAAATCAAATAAAAATACAAAAAATTAACTAAGTAACCATTCATTAACTACGTAAGGATGATTTTTTCTAATTTTGACATTACTTCCTCCCCATGTAAGGACATATAAGATTTCTAACACTGAACCTCAATAACATAGTCACTAGCTACGAACGACGCATAAAAATCAAAGTCTTGTCATATTAATTTCCGTGCTAAACTACGAAACTTTTAAAATTCATAAAACACTATTAAATGTTGTAAGGAATTACTTATGATTATATCGACTACGATATTTCACGATTTGTCAAGAATAAGAGTGGTGTCCACAACCGAATCAATTTAGGTGCCCACATCCAAACTTTACCATCATTTTGAAACATCATGAAAAAAAATTTGCTTGTGAACATGGTTGTGATACTTTGTATTGGAGCACAAAATATAACATATTACTGTAAATACTTCGATTTGTTGAATATTTAACAATGTTTAAAAATACATTTTTGTTATATTCAACGTGTCGAAAAATTAATTTATATGTAGTAAAAAGCACAATTGTCTAATCACTTTTGTATTCGCATCGATAACTACGTTTGGTCATAACACACACGTGACATTTGTCAGATTAGAAAAATCTCATTTCTGTCAAAAGTTCTGCGGGGGTGTCCACAACCGAACCTTTTCCCCTAATAGATAAAAAATTGTTTATTATTAACATAAGGGAAGTGTTGCGGTTGTGGGCACCTTTTTGTTTTTCCTATGTCAAAAACCATATAAAACTCTACTTCCATGAAGGAAACCACGTGGTTTACCATGCGGTTTCCCATGTCAAACCATATGGGAAATTGAGACAGGATTTTAGATAGGAATAATCATAGGAGATTTGAACAGTTTGTCTATGCATAAAACCATATCAAATCCCACATGAAATCCTGCATGTTTTTCCCAGTCAAATCCTAAACCAAATCCCATGTAAAGAACAGTATTATTTATATATAATTATTTTCCCTAGTCAATCCCCAAGTGAAATCCTTTTTCCTTTTTTTTAAATTTTCCCATGTCAAATCTTAAACCAAATCCCATGTGAAAAACATTATCCGCCTTATTGAATATCCCTACATGAGAATCCACTTGGAATTTTACAAGAAATTTCACATAGGATTTTATATGGGAATTGACATAGGATTTCATGCAAGATTTCACCTAGAATTTAATTTGAGATATTACATAGTATTTTATTAAAGATCCAATGAAGAAATTTTCAAAGGATTAAAAATTATTTAATAAAAAATTTAATAATAAATAGTATTAATGTTACAAGTCATCAAAAAAGTAAAAAAACGATAATTTAAAACACGTCCTCTGTGCTACAGGTTCTCAGCTCTTATATACTTCCAGAATCGTCTCAACAGCGAGAGAAGTCACTTTCACCCCCTAGCGGTGAAAGTATAGAAGCGGCAGTAATCTTTAACATTACTAAGGAAACCATGTGGAATACCACGTAGGATTCCATGTGGTTTTCTATGTGGGAATTTACCAAAAAAACGAATTGTGATCAAATCGCAATAATTTTGAAATTATCCGCCATTTTGAATTTTGAAAATTTTTGTAATCGACATTTTGGGTCCGACATTTTGAATTTTTTAAAATCTGACTTCAAATTCGGATTCAGCGACCCCAAAAACCTTCATGTATACTTCGCCACTCAAATCGAATTATGTTTAGTATTTTTTTGAGATGACTATATATGGCCACAGACGACAAGGTGGCACGACTTTCTCTTTACGTGTCCATTTATGAGCCATGGACTGTCAAGGGGTTAACCACCAAAAACAAAAAATAATATACATTCAAGAAAAATACTTTTGTTTTGAGAGGAAAACTTGAGAGGATATTGGAAGGGGGATTAAGATCTCGGGGATTTTTCATCTAAGTCTATGAGATTACATTTTTAGGGAGGACCGACCTTTTGGGAGTTAGAAGTTTGAATAACTTTTTACCTACATGTGAAAAAGTAGATCAAATTATATTTAAACAAAATTCAACAAAATTTTTATATAAGTAAAATAGACCAAAAACAAACAAAAAATTGTAATTTTTTTGTGAAATATAACAAAATCAAAAAATTGGTTTGCCCATAAAATAGACAAAAAATAAAAAATATTCTGTCTGTAAAATAGACCCAAAACGAAACTTTTTTTTATCTGTAAAATAGACCCAAAACAAAACTTTTTTTTATCTGTAAAATAGACCCATAACAAAATTTTTATTGTCTGTAAAATAGACCTACAATATTTGCCAACATTTTTTTTGTCTGTAAAATAGACCTTCTTACTATTTCATATTTTGTATAAAAAGCACCTAAGATAATTTTTTGTTGATGAATAAAAAATTTTTATTGGGTGTGTAAAATAAACATTTGTTACTTTACTTTTTGTGTATAAATGATACTGTCTCAAATTTATTTTCAGAGTATGACGTCATAAAAAATTAGCAATTATGACATTGTACAGCAGCGAGGGATTTAATTATTACATTTAACAGCAGCGTGGGATATTTTATAAGAAAAAAGTTCTTTAAAAATAAACAACAAAGTGGGAGGAAGAGGGTGGTTTTGTTGTTTTATAACTATTTCCAGGATACAACGTCATATAAAACCCAGATATGTGACGTTGTACAGCAGCGAGGGATCCAATATTATACTAGCGTGGGAAATATTATTATTAATCAGAACTTATTAAGTAAAAAGTTCAGCAAACAGGGCTATATTGACTGGTCTTTGTTGTCAATTAGTTTCATTAACTATCTTAATAATTTTGTTTTCAGAGTATAACGTTATATGAATGACAGGTTTCTGACGTTGTCCAACAGCAAGGGTTGTAATCATTATATTTATCAGCAGCCTGGGAAAATTTACAATTAATAATCTGTTTAAAACATTGCAACAACGTTAAATTTATTCATGATCTCCATTTTTTACTAATTTGTTCAGATATTTGCATAATTAGAAAAAAATGTTAATTTTCTAAGTGACTTCCATCAAAAGATAATAAATAACAACAGTAAATTGTTTAAACAATTACAAAAATGTTAAATTTATTATCTTCATTTTTTACTAATTTGTTTCGATAATTTCGAAATTAAAATATTTTTATTGTAAGAGTTTCACAACATAAAAAATGAACAATTATGACGATGTACAGCAGAGAGGTATTTAATTATTACATTTAACAGCAGCGTGGGATATTTTATAAGAAAAAAGTTCTTTAAAAATAAACACCAAAGTGGGAGGTTGAAGGTGGTTTTGTTGTTTATAACTTTATTTCCAGAGTACAACGTTATATGAAATTCAAATATGTGACGTTATTTAACAGCGAGGGATATAATCATTATGTTTACCAGCAGCCTTGGAAAATTTATATTCAAATATTTGTTTAAACAATTGCAACAATGTTAAATTAATAAAATATCTCCATTTTTGACAAATTTGTTTAGAGAACTGTAAAATTAGAAAAAACTGCTATTTTCTGAGTGAATTATGTCACGAGATAATAAATAACAACAATAATTTGTTTCCACAACAGCAAAAAAGTTAATTACTATTATTTACAAATTAACTTGGATAATTGCAAAATTAGAAAAAAACTGCAATTTTCTAAGTGACTTGTGTCAAAAGCTGAATAGCAACAATAAATTGTTTAAACAACTGCAAAATTATTAAATTTAATAATTATCTTCATTTTTCTAAAAAATTTACTTGGATAATTGCAACATTAGAAAAAAACTGCAAATTTCTAAGTGACTTGTGTCAAAAGATGAATAGCAACAATAAATTGTTTAAACAACTGCAAAATTATTAAACTTAATAATTATCTTCATTTCTTTACAAATTTACTTGGGGTAATTGCAAAATTAGAAAAAAAAACTGCAATTTTCTAAGTGACTTGTGTCAAAAGCTGAATAGCAACAATAAATTGTTTAAACAACTGCAAAATTATTAAATTTAATAATTATCTTCATTTTTCTAAAAAATTTACTTGGATAATTGCAAAATTAGAAAAAAAACTGCAAATTTCTAAGTGACTTGTGTCAAAA